GGGTCTCTTTTTGTGGAGTTCTGGGTTTGAACCCAATAAATATCAGTTCTTGGTAATGAACTTTGTTCGTGCAAACGCAACACTTGTCTTTTTTCACGATTTTAAGCAGTCCCATATGTCACACATTTTGCACGTGCATTCCCTGCACTCTGGCCCTTTAAATGCAGATCAAATTTTCAACATTCATCACTTCTTACACAAGAAAACAGGAACAGAGCTATTGGCATGCTGGATCAGGGGGCTTCACAGGTAGCCGTCGTCAGACACTTTAATGTCCACCCATTGACCATTGCTCGCCTCAGACAACGCTTCCACGCCACTGGAAAAGTTGCCGATCGACCCCAACCTGTTGGGAGACCTGTAACAACCGCTGCTCAAGATCGCCACATCCGACTACAGCATCTGCGCAACAGGTCCCAGTCAGCTACTGCTACTGCCAGGGGAACTGTTGGAACACGGTAACGTGAGATCAGCCCTCAAACAGTCCGAAGGCGTCTGGCTGCTATTTGGTTACGCTGCTGTCGACCTTACCAAGGTCAAATCCTTTTGCATCGTCATGGACTTGCCAGACAGCAATGGGCCGCAAATCAGGGGTATCTGCACAACACACCATGGCGAAATATCATCTTCTCAGATGAATCCCAATTCAACCTCAGTTTTCCTGATGGTCGTCACCTTATCTAACGACGTTGACATGAACGCTTTGCTCGTAACTGCATGCTGGAAAGGGATCGTTACGGGGGAGGTGGCATCATGGTTGGGTCGCTATCAGCGTCAACTTCCGGTCCCAGTTGGTGGTGGTCCATGCTTCATCCGGTGTTGCTTCCATTGCTGGCTCAACATGGCGTCCGTCGACAGATGGTTTTCTAGCATGACAACACACGACCCCACACTGCCAGGTTGACAAGCAAGGCCTAAAATAAGGTTAAATTCTTGTAGCACAGATTCTGTGTCCGGTGGATTAAGCTCCGGTTCCCATCTTTATTTCAATACTTAAGATCACAGATAATACCGAAAATTAGTGAAAATTATGTCAAAAATAAAGTCAAAGTGAAATGACGGTGAAGGATGCAGCGGATCAGATACTCCGAGGGAGTCGATCGGGCGCCAACTGATCTGATCTGACCTTCGCAACTGACCACCACAAGAGGAAACACTCATTAGGGGTCAGGAGGCATCACTACCTTACACTTTTTCAGAGCCTTACGCCATTTCTTTCAGAGCACGGATTTCTTATTTTCGAAGCACGAATTTTTCATTTCGAAGCACGTTATTTTAGGCCCTGTTGACAAGAGGCTTTCTGAACAATCATCATGTCCGTGTTATGGATTGGCCTGCTATGTCTCCCGACATGAACCCGATCGAACACCTTTGTGATGAACGTGGATAACAGGTTCGAACTCAAGCCGTGCCACTACAAACTGTTACAGAGTTGGCACAGGCACTCCAAAATCATTAGCAAACAATCCTACATTGTGTAGTGAGACATCTGTACCAAGGCGACTTCAGGCATGTGTAAGAGCTCAGGCTGGACATACCCTAAATTGACTTCAGCTGACCCCTGCTTGTTTCATGGTTCTCTGACGTTTCGGTTTTGTGCATTTGTAGTGAATTCTTTCCCGAAATTATCTACAGATGATTGTTATCTCAATTTTGTCAATTGTTATGTACATTTGTTAAAAGTTGTCGCAGTAAATAAACTTTGAATTTGGCATTGCGTTTTTTAATGGCTTTGAGTATATTTACAATGGCTATGGTGAATCTGGTACACTAATTACCAGAATTCACTTGAAATCACTAGCTGGAATTCTATGGAATTTACTTAAAAACAATAAAGCATCTGGCATTTTAGAATGGTAAAAGTGTATACATAGAGAGATGAAACTCATGTGATAAAAAGACTATTGGCAGCTCTTTCAAACCCTACAATCATTTCTGGCAATGTTATTTTTAGCCAAGTTAAACGACCACCACCACCACACACACACACACACACACACACACATTGTTTTAAGGAGAGGGAATAAGATTGGTTTTAAATTAAACCTCGTCACATTCTGAAATTACAATCATACAAAACTGAAATGTCAGTTTAGTGTCAGTTATTCAGAATGCATTAAAAACTGACCTAACAAAATAACGATCAAAATTGTATCTTCTAAATTTAACCAACAAAACAACATATAAATGTAGCCTGCATAACTCCCGCCATTTATCTGTAGATTTATTTTTAGATACAAGAACGTGTGATTGCTGATTACCTCCGAGAAATACATTGAAATCAAACTTACAAATGACGCATTTTCCATGGCATTTTCCATCAATATGTTATCACCCTGAAGACAAACAATGTCGATAGTGCTCCTAGCGATAATCAATCTCTATTTTCTGTGTTCAGATCATGCCTGCAAGACGGCGATATTATCACGGCATCTCTACCATAACTGAAGATGGGAGTATATATGTTGCAGGAATCAAGTAAATGCAAAGCTTCAAAATAATCCCAAAAGAGTTATCTCCCGTTAAAATCGGTCTTTTAAACGATAAACCAGCCGCTTTCCTATTTTGTTTTTATTAGCATTTGTTTCTCTGGATGCGCCTTCAATATATATATTTTCAACATCAATGTATTCGTCTTCAAGATTCATATAATACTACACTTTTATTTCCAAAATTATTATTGGCTCTCGCAACAAAGGAATTGGGTTTTTTCTCTGGTTTACGGGATTTTAAGTAAAACTCAAAAAAGACTTGGTACTATCATTTGGAAGACTAAAATGTAAACGTTATTTATAAGTCTACAAGAAGATATGCCTAGTTGCCTGTTACATAATAGCTTTTGCTGAACCAATTCTAAGGACACAAGAAATTAAATGGACAAGATCCCCATCAGAAATTTTATAAAAATTAGCCGACCGCTAACGCGTGTCCCTGCTATTCCAACCCGTGAATATTTTATAGCAACTTATTTAGATATTATGGTTTTGCAACCGAAATACCGCTGAATGAACTCCGATTTGTTGCTATCAGACTGAATGCCGTTGCATTTCAAGAAAAACTGATGAAACAAATAATGACGATGTCGCTACTAAAGTATAGTTGCTCCCAGACACGCTTTATTACACAATATTTTTAGTTTTTATCCAATAGTCAATTTAAACAAATTTCGATTCACGAAAACTGTGGCACAATGCAGAGTGGCTTCAGACCCCATAAAATCATGGGTTTTGGACACTTTTTGATGACCAGAAGACAAAACGAATTTTCCCAAAAAATTAATAAAACATATAATAAAATAAAATAAAACCAAGTACGAACAATCCAAACCATTAGACAAAATTCGAAGTCCTAAAAAAACGGTATAGGCAAAATAGTGTAATAATGATCGATGTTCGGAAACGGTCGCATGGCTCCAGGTTAAAAGGTCTTGCGATTTCAGGTAGTTTATGTTGCCGTCTAGCAGCTAGAAAGGTATTTTTCCGCAAAAAAAAATGTTTTTTCCCCTCACTTTTTGCCTCAAAAATCTAACTGGCCGAACATACCAAGCCAGAAGACAAAAATAATTTTCCCTAAAAAAATAGCCTAATGAAACATACATATATAATGATCAAAAATTCTTGCGATTTGGGGCAGTTTATAGTGGCAACTAGCAGCCAGAAAAATTTTTTCTCCCCTCACGTCCGCTTCCACCGAAGTGATATCGCAGACAAGTTGGTCTTTTTTTTTATTTTCATTATCTTAGCGCACGCGCAGGGGTCTTTTCTGTGGGAGGAAACCGGAGTACCCGGAGTAAACCCACGAGGTTGAGAAGGCGCCCCTATCTCCAACCACAAGCCATAGGTTACCCCCCCCCCCTTGATAGGCTTTATTTAGGCCTATAGAACGGTCTCTGGTCGCGACGCTGTGTGAGAGACCGTTCTTAAAGGAATTGGTCGTGGGATTTTTCTCGGAAAAATCACTATAAAACGTCGGCAAGACATCGAATCGCATTAAAATTTATATCCTGTATCCTCCCCTCTAAACCAACTTTGTGATTCGTGTTGTATAACATTTGTATCGTGTCTAGGGGGGGTTGGATGGCCGAATGGTTAGCATGGTCTGTCATTGAGTCAACTGGAGAGGTTTCGATTCCCCGGTTGTACGTGACAAGGAGTAGGGTCGCCTGTCCAACCTCGGGGGTTTTCTCCGGGTTCTCCCGTTTCCTCCCACTGCTAAAGACCCCTACGCGCAAGCGAATTATTGAAATGAAAAATTGAACCATGTGTTAGTCCCGAAATGACCTAGTTTGTGTCGAGTGGACGTTAAATCCTCTCTCTCTCTCTCTCTCCCTCTCGGGGGGTTGGATGGCCGAATGGTTAGCACGTGCGTGCTGTATCATAAAGCCTGTCATTGAGTCAACTGGCGTGGTTTCGAATCCCCGGTTGTACGTGACAAGGAGTAGGGTCGCCTGTCCAACCTCGTGGGTTTTCTCCGGGTCCTCCGGTTTCCTCCCACTGCTAAAGACCCTTACGCGCAAGCGAATTATTAAAATAAATAAAATAAACCATAATATGTTAGTCCCGAAATGACCTAGTTTGTGTCGAGTGGACGTTAAACCCCATTCCTCTCTCTCTCTCTCTCTCTCGTCTCTCTCTCTCTCTAGGCTATTGGGGGGTTGGATGGCCGAATGGTTAGCACGTGCGTGCTGTATCATAAGACCTGTCATTGAGTTGAGTGAACTCATGGCGTAGTTTCGAATCCCCGGTTGTACGTGGCAACATAGAACTAAATATGTATTAGTTCTATGGTGGCAAGGAGTAGGGTCGCCTGTCCAACCTCGTGGGTTTTCCCCGGGTCCTCCGGTTTCGTCCCACTGCTAAAGACCCCTACGCGCAAGCGAATTATTGAAATAAAATTAAACCATATGTTAGTCCCGAAATGACCTAGTTTGTGTCGAGTGGACGTATAAACCCCATTTCTCTCTAGGCTATTATCGTGTCTGATTCCGGTCCAGTTTTTGTACAATACGATCTCAACTTCCGGCACGTGGAAGTACAAAATAAAAACAACGAAATAATGCCTGTTACTTCAACCGAGGAGAAACCCATACAGTTGACATTGGAAGATTTTATTAAAACACATGAACCACAGTTACGATCATCAGGTGTACCTGAACATCTATGGAAATCATTATTTATAAAGCTTGCAGGACAGGTCTCACAAAACTTATAGACTTATATTCATCTATTTACTTTAGTAACGAAAATATGAGAGGCCTACCTGCTCGCCCCAGGGCGCTAATGCACTTTCGTACGCAAGTACTAGGTGTACGAAAGTGCATTAGCGCCCTCGCGGCGGTAGGGCTCTCTCATATTTTCGTTACTAAAATAACTAATATTCATCGTATATGATACAAATGTAGCAATGCAAAAGCTTTTTTATAACGCAGTGCAATAACTTTCTTATTTCTTATCGATTTTGTTTCTTAAATGTGGGGGGGGGGGGGGCGAATTCTAATAAATATTCAGTTTTAGTCAGATTCAAAATTATAAAAATGCAGTGGCTATATTGTTACGACGAGTCATAAAGATAGTTCTCAGGCTATTGTTACGACGATCCTTTAGAACCCTCCATCGGCAAAGTTAAAAACTGAATAGCTGTAAAATTAGTCCAGTGGCTATTGTTACGACCATCGATTTCTATTACTCCTCTGAATCAATGGATTTCAACCTCACTACAGGCCCCGATCCAGCCCACGGCACTAATGCAAATCCACTAATGCATGTGGCACTCTGATGATTAAGTTACCCTTTCTTTGCTCCAATGTATGCCCCCCTCCCCCTCGACAAAATCCTGGATCCGGGCCTGACTAGCGCGAGTTAATTAGCCCTAACCCTAAACTTTGCCGATGGAGGACTCTGAAAGCATTGTCGTAACAATACTCTGAGGACTATTTTTACGACTCGTCGTAACAATAGCCACTGCATTTGTATAATTTTGAATCTGACTAAAACAGAATATTTATTAGAATCCCCCCCCCCCCCAATTTAAGAAACAAAATCGATAACAAATAAGAAAGTTATTGCACTTTTAAAGATACATTATGGGAGATTGGATAAAGAGCTGGTAGTTCTCACTATAATAGTTATTGTTTATTGTATGTTTAAGTTTTAAGACCCAAAGTATTTCCGGTTTTTTTTTTTAGCATGGCCTTTTTCTTTACGTGTCTATCCCGATTTGAACAGAGTCTCAAAAATAAAAGTCTGAGTATGTACATGTATGAAATTTAAGCGCCAAAATACAGAGTCGGGTTAAATTTTTCGTTGAATGACCTGATAATCGATTCCCGTTCTTTTAGAGGTCTATTCAGTGAATAACTCATGTGCTGTACTTGATAACAAAAGGTAAATTTAACCTCACATTATTTTTGTACGCCCACATTTTCGTGTGGACGTATATTGTCGTGGACTCTCTACAGGTCACAATTCTTGTCCGATTTTGGCTGCTTTCGATATTGGCATGTATCGGATCGAAACTTCATGGATTATGGCCACTGTTTGTACGAAAAATCAAGTTTTTAGCTTGTGGACCCTATAGAGGTCACAATTTTTATCCGATTTTGTTGAAACTTGAAATGTAAGTTTATAACCCAAAGATCTCAGTTCGTTTCGATATTCGCGCATATCGCACCATAACTTCCTGAATTATGGCCCCTGATTGTACGAAAAATCTCGTTTTTAGCTTGTGGACCTTATAGAGGTCATAATTTTTATCCGATTTAAAAAAAAGTATTATTATATCACCGTTACACCCTAAGGAAGGTACCAAAATTGCCAGACAAAATAGTTGTCGTTTGTACGCGAATAGTGTAAAAATATGGTAAATCAAGGTTTTGGACCCTGTATAGATCAAAATTTTAATTCGATTTTGATGAAACTTGAAATCATGTTTCCTTTCGATATTTGCGCATATCGCCTCTTTTAGCTTGTGGTCCCTCTGGAGGTCACAATTATTATCCGATTTAAAAAACCGTTTGATATTATATCACCGTTACACCATAATGAAGGTTGAGATTGAATTTCGTGAAAATCGGACCAAAATTGCTCGACAAAATGGCCGCCGCTTGTACGCGAATAGTGTAAAAATATGGTATATCAAGGTTGTCGACCCTGTAGAGGTCGCAATTTTAATTTGATTTTGATGAAACTTGAAATGCATGTTTATAACCTAAAGATCTTGGTTCCTTTCGATATTGTCGCATATCGGATCATAACTTCCTGAATTCCGTTATACGAAAAATCGCCTTTTTTAGCTTGTGATCCCTCTGAAGGTCACAGTTATTATCTGATTTTAAAAATCGTTTGAATATATCATCGTAACACCATGATAAAGGTTGAGTTCAAATTTCCTGAAAATCAAACCAAAACTGCCAGACAAAATGGCGGCCGCTTGTACGCGAAAGGTGTAAAAATATGGTATATCAAGGTTGTAGTTCGGTGGCTGAAGGGGGGGAATCGCCACCTGAGCTGTGAATTTATGAGACCAAGTTTTTCTAGACCAGTTTTTTGCGTAGATTCCGAATCTGGGTGGTGATCAGGCGTTTGAGGGGGCGTTTTCGAGATATAGGGGGTCAAATGTCTACAATGGGGGGGGGGGGGGAGATGTCATTATGTTGACGTAATATATTAATAAAACATAAATTTCTAAGACTGCCCACCTATAAATAAGTGTCTATGGTGCCCCTGGACAACTGTTTTGATTTATGGGGAGGTGGGGTGGGGGTAGCAGGTGTGGAGGGGTGGGGATAAAATTGGCGTGGAAATGAGTTCACGTTGATTTAAATGATGATTCTAAGAGCTTGATGAAACATCTCTAAATATGTTTATAAGTTTCCTATTGTATGGGGGTGGATGCTGGGGTGGGTGCTCGCCGTGTGGGTGGGGGGAGGCGGTGCAGTGCGGGTGATGGCGGGTGGCAACATGTATTTTTGTTGACAGAAATCATTTCGTTCATAATTGAGCTTAAAGTGGTATCTCGTTAGCGTTTTCATTCAAAATATTAAATTATAATTGTACTTTTCAAGAGATCTGGAAATGTAAATCAAAAACACATTAACTCAGAGATATGTTTAGTTGTTAGTTTATTCTTTGTCTTCATCAGAAGATTCAAAATCAAAAGTTCATATGAGCGAGATAAATAATTTCTTGGTTGCTGGCCAACAGCTCGCACCACTGATATATGGACACTATGCCGGAAAATCCAGAGAGACTTTCTCTGCCAGCACCTCATAATTCGTACATGAGATTGGTATTTTTTTATTTTTCAGGTTTATGATGCTGGCAGTAGTTTTCAGATATTATGTGAAGAAATAGAAGATGAAGATGGAGACATAGTTGGTCAGGAATGGAAGGTGGTTGTTATAAATGACAATGGTATTCAACTAAGTGATTACAATAAGTAAGTATGACTTATCACAAGCTAGGCCACACTTCAACTGATTCAAACTTTCAGAGTGGAGTGTGACAGCGTACTATACGGTACTAACGTATACCAGGTAGCAGTCTTACCGCAAAAGTATGAAAAATGTCCTATCTTAGCTTACTTATTCACATAGTAGGCTATTTGTCTAATATTGAATTTAATCAAGTGAATAAAAATCTGCCATGTCTTGAAGTTGAACAAAATTATGTGTGATCTTCTATCAGAATCTAAGTTTGAACAGTATTCTTGTTTGGTTAATTTGAATAAATACATGGGCTTTAAAGATATCAAAATTTCATAATTATATGGTAAATTTAATCTACATGCAATTAATTCATTCAATATTTCTTTGTCAATAGCATATTTTTGATAGACCATGCATGGACATTCAGAGTTCCTGAAGCTAGGGGTTATCTGGAACAGGTTCCTGGGTTGAGGGGTCGAATGGCAAATCTGATGGACATTGACCAAGAAGATAAAGATACAGAAGTTATTATTGAAGAAATTTTGAAAGAAATGTGGCGGTTAATATTTTGAAATAATATCTGCCTAATTCCATGGTGCTATTTCTGTATTAAATTAATATTGCAATCTCAATGTTTACAAGATCACTAGAAGTAAATTATCTAAATTAGCACTCCACTAATGTAAGAGGACTATTTTGTTTTATACACAAGATTTTTTTGATAATGGTACTTAAATACTTGTTAGGAGTTTTTACGTCATTTAATATAGTGTTTTAATTTTATTTTAGATTCAATCAGACATTTAGTTTTGGTCATTATGAATTTGTAAGTTCACCATTTTAGTAACATAACCTTTGATATTGTCTGCAGTAACAAAATTTTAGTTAATGGGGAAATCTTCTCCACTTTATTATATACAATTTTACATCCATAGTTGCTAGTAATCGTCCCAGATTTCTATCACAAAGCTACTAGTTTCGTTCTTTTATGAAATTTTAAAACATAAGGGAGAATGTGCAGCTGTTGTTACTTGTTCCTCTTTATATAGTTTTTAGGAACCAGAATACATGTGACATCCCAGATGGACCAGAGTCACTGCTATGTCCTTTTTTACAACAACATATTAAACTTAAGCACCCTTTCAGTTCCTTTTCAACTGACCAATCAAATTCATATAAAGCGATAAGGAGATATCGCAGTAGATTATTAAATATATCACACAAGCGATATCTAATGTAGAATGTATTATTGGGTGATAATATGCATCTATTGAACAGGGAGCAGAAGAATCATTACCATTTTGGTACATTATGGACGAATTTGGATCAAGAGTCCAATATTCTGATGAACCAACTTTCAAGATGGAACCATTTTATTTTTGTCATCAACAAATGGCTTATACGTTAATGTGGCCGGTAGGTGATTGTGATAAGGGAGGTAAGTCAATTGATGCACTAGGAAGCAGACCACCATTAATTGCCCCATTGACTTCAGTGTTAATTATGGCCTCTTTGCAGTAGTGATGGGATTTCAAACTTTTTCTTGTCGGACATTTTACCGAAAATAAAGAGGCATAACTCTTATCGTTATTTAAGCAGAAGAATTCATACCACAAAATATTTACATCCCGTACATAATAAAAATTCATATTTAATTCCTGTACGGTATTCAATTCATACCACAATTAAAAATCACATGTCAACAAAATATTCAAATCCTGTACGTAATAAAAATAGATGAACCTCGCTATTTTTCATATTTAATTTCTGTACGGCATTCAAATTTATGTCAGTAACATTCCTACAAAATTAAGCATTTTTGTAATACATTGAATGAAAGCTCGCTGATTCTGCTTCAGTATCAAATTCACAACCGTAATATTCCTTCAAAATTACGTGTCTTCGTTTATACGGCAGCAACTGAATGCAGAACTTCCGAAATAAGAATAGTTTGTAATGTCAGAACATCGTTTTTTCTTTATAAAATGTCAACAAAATGTTCAAATCAGTGCGTAATAGAAATAGGAACACCTCACTATTTTTCATATTTAATTCCTGTATGGTTATGGTATTCAAATGTATGTAAGTAATATTCCTACAAAATTACATGTCTTGGTTTATACGGCTGCAAATGAAGGAAAGGCGTTAGAAATAATAATACTTGTGGTGATGACAAAACACCATTTCCTTCTTCATGTGTCAGTATTTTAAAATTCCATTGATAGTTAAATCACTCGTGAAAAGACATACCTAACTTCAGCCTATAGCGTATGTGACTCGTAGCACATAGCTTCATAGTGAGCAATGCCTTATATGTTAAGCAATTTTCGTATGGCAATCAAGATCACGGGAAAGTGCGACTGTGGATGAGAATTTCTATATTTAGTCTAAAAAGACGTAAAAGATATCGCAGGCAAAATGACTGTCCATAGATTTAGGGTGTTATATACTCTTACGATATGTGACATCTATGACTAGTTTATACATGCTGACGGCTCACATCAATGCGATTAAAATGTCCGCCAATGGAGAAATCATGAGGTAAACACCTGGATTAAAATTATGATCACTCTTATTGGATTGATGAATAGTGCGACAAAGGGGAAGCAATGTCTTCGGTTTAAGATTAGATTGATGAATTGTCCGACAAAGGATTAAGTCAGTCAATCAAGGCAGATTAAGTAGTTAATCAAGGTAGGTGTATAGACAGTATAACAAAATAAATACGTTGATCACTGAATTACATAATCAATCCAGCCTATTATGAAGGATAATCGGGTTGAGTAGTACTAGTACACTATATTAATTTTGGAATTTTGAATATTATTCACCATGTCTTGACGTCCGATTGGGCATATTCCCAGTCGGACAATTTTGGGCGTTTGGAAAATAGCGTCGGACAAGACCAGAATATACGGGTGAAATCCCATCCCTGCCTCTTTGCCCACCTCCAACTTTTCCCCAAATTTTTGTTGGGCTGAATGCTTTTCACTACAGATAGAGGAACAAATTATCATGTCTTTGCACTAAAATGTGTATGAGGTTGAATACCAAAATTTTGAGATACACAAATGTGACGAAGCATACTAAAAACATGTAACTAGTTGCCGTACTTATCACCGTAACCAACCAACCTAATATTCCTGTTATCTTTCTGCCTCAAAATCATGAATATTTACCAAAACCTGGCAGAAAATGTTAATTAAAACCCTCTTCGTTCATTCTAGACCAAAAACTATAATGAAACTTGTAAGCCCACTCCCTAAAAATTTAACTGTGGTAACAAATCAAACTTGTGTCCACATAAGTAATACTGTTGAAGGAATATGTCTAATTTGAAGGAATATGGCAAATAGCCAAGTTCTTCTATCCCTGGCTTATATACATACGTATAAACAAAGGTACTTGTAAGAAGTATGAATCATTTATTAATTAAAATAAGGATTGATTGATGTAAAACAAATGCTGCATTTAGGTGATAACCAACCAATCTAATAAAAGGGTCACAAAGCACAAAAATTTTAAAAAATGGGAATATTTCAGTATTTAAATCACTTTAACAATCAGAGTTATCCTTGAAATTACATAGTGTAAATATTTTGTGGAAGCAAGTTGTTTTAGTCTTTACATCAATTTCCTGACAAAATGAGGTGGAAGAAGGGAGTTATGACATAATTCACATTCTAGACCAAAAAATCAAGAAAAATGGGCATGCAAAAGGGGAAAAAAGAGACAGAGAGAGAATTGCTATAAATAGGCGAACTACAGTTTGTGGGTACCAAGATGGTGAAATTTAATGGTGGTCTGCCTCCACTAAGGATAGAATTCTCTTCCCATTGAATCATGATTTCAGTGTTAAATCCATGACATTTACAATCATTATGATACAAATATAGATTGAGTTTGTCTTTGGCTTTGACATTGTTTTCATAGATTTCCCTAATTCATGTCTGCTTCCTGATCAAAATCATGAATATTCACCAAAACTTGACAGAAAATGTAAATTAAAACAATTTTCTTCAATCCTAGACCAACACACCAACACAAATTGCCATGCAAAGGGATTACCATGAATAGACGAGCTACATTTGTATACATATCAGAAAGGTCATAAACATTTATTTGAATGTACAGTAGAATCTGTATGAGCAGCCACTCCTATCAGCGACATCTCCTTGTAAGCGGTCACGATAAATTCCCCCCGTAAAAATTCTATTGTTTCATCTCTTTATTCAACGGCCACTCCTCTAACGTGGCCAGCGGTCACTATTTTACTAATAAATTCAACAAAACATCGCCCATTCAACGGCCATTATTGAATGATACTATCTTGTCGTTCTTTGTAACACCCCCGCTAATCCCGTGAGTAGTAGTTAATTAACTGGACCCCCACTGATCAGGTAAAAAGAAATGTAAACATAACAATCAACCCGGGATTATCTATTAATTAATCTTTTGTTTTATTAAACGACTAACCTGATCATTGTTTTCACGCGTAACGACACATTATTTGATACTGATTGAATAAAATAAAAGTACCGAGTTTTGTCACGATCATCTAGTATCTCTTTTCCATTGCCATTTTATTGTTAAACAGACGTTTTAGCGCCTCCTATAATATTACATACAGAGTTACACCCCCTGTAAATAGGTGATAAAATCATCGATGGTTTTAGTTCATGTGCTTTTTTGATTAAATAAAATTGATTCATTGATTTTCTTAACAAAAATGGATAAATATTATCGAATGCATCACAATGGTAGACAGTAGTATCGAAGGTTGGTACAAAATGACAAGTTTACAGAAGTTATGTGCGAGACTTGAGTAAAGAATTTTTGTTCGCCGCAAGATTCAGCGACGGTCAAATTTACCGATGCAAGTATTGATGTTCGCTTCCAATGCATCCAAGCGTAATATTTAATTTATGTCAGCACAAAAAGCACTGAGATTTTATTAAGAGGCCACTCCTGTTAAGCGGTCAGTCGTGAAAATTCCTTTGGGTGGCTGCTTAATGCAGATTCTACTGTATTGTTATATTTTGAAAACATATTGTACACATTTGAATATATATATTGTTCAATTTTGAAAGTATATTATTGTTCAATTTTGAAAATATTTTGTTCAATTTTGAAAATATTTTGTTCAATTTTGAAAATATTTTGTTCAATTATGAAAATATATTGTTCAATTTTGCTGTATAAGACTAGAGATAAGAGAGAGCTCATCAAGTCCAAAAGTTATTCTGGCTAAAGAGACACGAGGTAAAGGAATGAACAACTCCATTATGCAAAGGTATCTCTTTTCACAAGGCTCGTTTTATTTTAGATGAAGTTACAAGAAATTATGTTGAAAATACATCGGACCCATTAGTTCGTCAAGCTAAACTGTTACCATGGAAACCTATTGATATGACTGATGTTGACTGTACACAAGAAGAACCAGATGAGGCTTTCTTCATGGTGAATGACTGTTTTTATTCTTGCATATATAGTTTTGCATTTTAACTTAAAATAGAACATGACATGTATGGTACTGAAAATAAGATATTCGTTTTGATGATCAGAGCACTTAGCTGAAAGAAGAAATATTTGCATCCTGTGGTAAATTTGTGCATTTTATCATAGTTCATTTTTTTTTTTTAATGACATTAGCACTGCATTGTAATCATAGCATCTTTCTATCAATGATGACATGTTCCTTCAGATGGGTTGCTATGCATATGCAACATGGAATGTATTTTAAATTGACTGACTAGCAGACATTGAACAACATTTTATTCAATTTATTGCCAAATTTTTAAGTTTACCTTCCTTAATGAAGAACACAAGAAAAAATTCATTGGGTACATCATGCTGGATTTGTTTACTTGAAGGCTGCTGTGTGAGTGTATTTTGGGTTTCATTTCCCACATCCATCTGTGATTTTTATTTCAGAGTAACAGAGTCAATGAAAATTTACCCAATCTGTCTGCTGAATCTCCAACTTTACCTAAAGATCGTAGTATCAAGGTTTTTATGGAATACGCAAATTTAGCCAAACATCTCACAGATCCTCGATTTGAAATTGTACATGATGAAGAGGAAGCTGATATATTATGGTTAAATAAACACTATAAGGATTTTAAGTAAGTATAGGTATTATAATTGTCATTAAACTTAAATAAAATTGAATCTAGATTATTTAGAATCTATATTATTCAATATAACTTACAGTTCAAATTGACTATCTACCTTATGTGTCTTCCATTAAAACTTGTAGACTTAAAACTTTACCCTCATTTCAACATCTAGGTCTTTAACACGTCACAACCCTTCTGCATCTTACGAAGAGGTGAGATAATTTGATATGTGGCAGGATTGTAGGTATACATGGTTGTGTTTTGTTTTAACAATTTTAATATTTTTGTTGAAGGTTTCAGCCAAAGTGATGTATTGCATCGAATACAAAAGATTATCTCAATGTTTAAAAATATGCAAAAACATTTGAATTTCAGTTTATTTACAACAAAAATTTCTATCATTTATTGTTTTATTGTTATTACAGACTTAAATTTTTAACATGGTGTAATGAGGATGACATCAAACATGATCGACACTTTGACTTTATGACGTTAAAACAATGCCTGGCATCAAAAGGGTTTATAAGGGCAGCATATCGGGTGATCCATCAAAAATTTGTGCTGATTTAAATACTGTTATTATATTCCGATGGGGGGGGGGGGCATCAAATGGGCACAAAACCAGACCCAACTTCTCTAGAGTAAAATTTTCCGCCGTTGTGGCGTTTTCAAGATATTCGAGGTCAAAGGTCAAATGAGGTCACAATTTTTATCTGCTTTTGATAAAACATGAAATGGCTGCTACTTGTACGCAAATAGTGTAAAAGTATGTAATACCAAGTTTGTGAACCATCTAGAAGTCACAATTTTTATCCGATCTTGATGAAACTTAAACGATCTCAGTTCCTTTCGATATTCATACATATCGAAATGTAACTTCCTTGATTATGGTTCCTGATTGTACAAAAAATCACTTTTTTTTTTAGCTTGTTCTCTATCCATCTCTTGCAAAATGTGGACGTATCTTGCCTGGCAACCGCTGTTTGAGTTTTATTCCGGCATGTCACCACTTTAAATTTTCTATATTTTAGAGGTTTAAGTGAAGAGAAACCAAATGTGTTTATTAATCAATTTCCTCAAGAGTTTATCATCACAGTTAAAGATATGTTGGCTGTTGTCTCAAGGCGAGCAGCTACAGAACAAGAAAAAACACAAAAAATATCACCTGGTCCAAAATGGCTACCTGTAACCTACAACTTAGTGACAGAACTTCCCAAGTTTGTCTCATATTACCAACAGAGAGAGGCACTGTATGTAAGATATGCTAATCCTTCTTACATATTCTATATTTTGAAACTTATTTAACTGCTTAAAAATGCAATATTATTGTGCCATAAATTAATAAAAACTGGCTGGCTTTCAGAAATCTAAAATACATAATGGCAACTCAAATCAAAGTCTTATCATCTCTGCTTACTTGATGATTCACCCTTTATTATTTTTGGTCATTCTCCCGCTTTTCATATTGTTGATTTTCTGTCCCCTTCCTTTCACATCTTTTGGAACAGAATAATTCTACTTCTAATTCATTAGCTAATGTCTTAACTGTATGTTTTTTTTTTTAAGAGGCCTTGATAATCATTGGATCTGTAAACCGTGGAATCTAGCTCGGTCAATGGATATGCACATCACTAAAGAAATCAGTACAATAGCACGGTTAGCAGACTCAGGACCTAAGGTATGGAAATACAGTAAAACAAGAATTTAAACTGAACAGGGTAGAAAGTGACTCTTTTCTAAAAAGACGTCTTAATTGGCTTGACCATTAATTAGTAGTTTATTACATTACCATATTACTCGGTGTATTAGGCACACTTTTTTTTACCAAATATATTATTTTCTAGAAGGGGTGTGCCTTATGCACAATGTTAAGCAAATCCTGTTCCTGTTTTGACACCAAAGTCTTAAGTTCAAGAAATAACTGCTGACCTATGTCAAAAGCTTATGATATATTATCACCAAATTACCATTAACGTCTTACCATTTGCATAGTCAACCAATTCTTTCTCAATTTGTGGATAACATGTGGCACTCCATCTAATCGTTTTTTGTCCCCCACCTTTCGAAGAAAGCTGGGGACAATTAAAATGGGATCGTCTGTCTGTCTATCTAGCTGTCTGTCCGTCACACTTTTTGGGACACAATAACTCTCCTTCTAATTGAGCTAGAATGTTCAAACTTGGTGTGGGTGTTTATTACGTCCCTTTGATGGAGTTCGAAGATGAGAATTTTCTGCTTAGGGTAAGCAGAGATAAGCAATTTGATTGGTTGATGCTTTGGGACACGATAACTTTAGTTCTAATTATGTGATAGTGATGAAATTTGGTGTATAGTGTGCATCAATATCTTGACTATGTTCCATAATGAGCATTTTCTGCTCAGGGTAAGCGGAGCGATAACAATTTGATTGGTTGAGACTTTGGAACACAATAACTCTGCTTTTAATTAAGGTAGAATGTTTAAACTTGATGTAGATGTTCATTAGGTGATTGTCTTGACGGAGTTCAGTGATTAACATTTTGAGCTAAAGCTAAGCAGAGCTAAGAAATTTGGTTGAGACTTTTGAACACAATAACTCTGCTTTTAATTAAGGTAGAATGTTTAAACTTGATGTAGATGTTCATTAGGTGAATGTCTTGACTGACGCTGGCTCGCTAGCCTGGAGGTCGGGTGTTCGATCCCTGCATTGGCCGAGAAAGTTCATCCAGATTTTCCGGCGTGGTTCCCTCTTGATGCAGGACGGAGGGCCTGACAAGGACAGCTGTCTAGTCCTTCGGATGAGACTAAAAACCGAGGTCCCGTGTATACATTAGAATGCGCGTAAAAGATCCCTTGGCCGTTGGAATTCAATATAAGAGTAGGCGATAGTGCCGCTGCCCGGGCAAAATTTCCCTCATAGCACACTGTATGGCGTATGCCCGTCATCATTAGCCCAGCATAGGAGCAGAATAGTAGGACGTTAAACCCCATTTCATTTCATTTCACGAGTTCAATGATTAACATTTTGAGCTAAAGCTAAGCAGAGCAAAGAAATTTCATTGGTGATGCTTTGGGACAAGATAACTTTGATTCTATCTGATAGAGAGTGATGAAACTTTGTGTATTGTTGATAATCAGTTTGATTGCTTGATACTTTTGAAAAAAATAAATGTGCGATTAATTAATGTGTCATCTATTTATTTTGTGATTTCGGCGGGGGACATCAGCCTCACTGTTGGCTTGTTTATTTGGTTTCATGTCACTGAGTTCCAGACTCATAGCCCTCGAAGTGCTACGGTCGACTCACCCAAATTAAATTCACAACCCACAGCCCTGTTACATCTAGCTGTTTTAAGTTACCGATAGTTTTCATGCTACATAGATTCACTGATTGATCTGTTGTTATAATTTACCGGTATCATTAATTATCTACTCGTGAGTTGTCACCATTATGAAGTTGTTTGTTTGTATTTATCATAATTATTCTTTCTTTGATTGGTATTAAATCTACTATTGTTTTATGTTACTCGTAGATCCAAATGCCTATGCGTGTAGTGGGCGGGGTCATTAACATTATTGTTTGCTTGTCAATTGTTTGGATAGTTTACGTGGTTTAAACTAGAATAGTCGTTTCTCAAATTAATATTTCTATCTTTGATTGGTATTAAATCTACTATTGTTTTATGTTACTCGTAGATCCAAATGCCTATGCGTGTAGTGGGCGGGGTCATTAACATTATTGTTTGCTTGTCAATTGTTTGGATAGTTTACGTGGTTTAAACTAGAATAATCGTTTCTCAAATTAATTCTTTCAGTAAGGAGTTAAAGGAGCTAAGTCGCTAATAATTGGGCCCTAGAAATTGACACAAATGGGTCGCAACGCATACAATAATGTAATATGAATGTATATAAATTGATTTACATTCAATTGTTTCTGTTTTTACTGTAATTTCTAATCAGTTAGGTTCGGCGAAATACGCCAGTATTCTCAATCATATTTCAAGCTCTAGTGTCTGGTTATTCCAGTCTACGCCAAGAGTATTTATTGGGCATGCTCTCCAGATAAGAATATAGCATCACCGTTTGACATGACTTGTGGAATATGCCTAGCCTCGTTTTTCTAGTCCCTTATTACAGGTAGCGCTGAAACGCATTATGGTACACGATTCGTGTACCAATTGTAAAATGTTTATTTTGTCTTAAATATTGGATATCAGAAGGCCATCTTTTCCCGGTAAGATCACAACATCAATGTTGATTTAAACCGACAAATAAATCGTGTTTTCAATGTTGAAGATTTTGGATGATATTGAGTTAGAGACTTAGCTACTTTAAGTCGTGAGTAGCTGATTACGAGAAATTATTTCTATAGTTAATATTTCATTTGTTTATAATCAATACCTAACGGATTTAATAGACGGCCATATTTGTTGTGAGCGGAACTTAAACAACAATTTGACTACGAGCGCCACATGTTTACAGTAAAATTGGTGCAAATTATTACATAATGCTGTTTCAATAAAATTAATATAAAGGCTTATGCAATTGTAAAAAAAATATATAGAGTTTGATATGCCATTAAAAATGTATATATACAGCTTGATAGGGTGAAATAGCGGTAATGATTGTAACGGTGTGTAATTGGGACACATATGGTATGGCACTGTTTCACAATGCGCCGTAGAAGGTGCGCCTCAACCAAGCACTTTTATTTTTTTCCTGGAACACCTCTGCCAAACTCACCCTTTGTTTACTTCGGGTTTCACTTTGAAGTTTGTTCGACTTTTCACCATCTAGATGGTGACCTAATCTTTCCCTGACCTTTGACCTTTGTATTGTTATAAAAAAGTTTGGTCATAAAGTATAACTTCCGGTTTTATTAAGAGTTCAAAATGACAGGTTTTTCCACCTTATTAGGTATTGAATGTTACTATACTCAATAATTTATGTTGTAACTTGAATGTTGATGTGACAAGGAGTGACGTGACGTGACGTGACATACCGAAACATGTCAGTACTTGTTAGGAGTTCTAGTTATTTTATTGTTTTGATATGATTAGGTGTACAGGACCCTATATGATAAAGAAGGCTTTAAATGTTTGGTCAAATTATTGATGAAAATTTAGGGACATTAGTTCTCTTGTCTGAAATATCTTAAATTACTGTGTGAAAATAGGTTATTTTTGATTGTAATTTCTTCTTTTGCCAAAAAAGTCATTTGTTTGCACACATAATTTAGGGGGAGGGGCTACTTCTCACCATACAACATAAAGATACATTATATTTCATCTGAGAACATTAAATTGTCTGCCACATCAAAGTTCTTTTTAAATGTTGACAATTTTTGATGAAATTATTGAAATGTTACAATTATTTATTTTAGGTAGTATGTAAATACATACACAACCCTGTTTTATTTAACAGACAAGACATAGGAAATGTCAAATTTGATTTTCGTTATATGGTTTTACTAGCTGACACCCAACCATTGAAGATCTATGCTTATCATGTTTTCTGGCTGAGGTTTGCAAATAGGTAAAGTATAGTGTTATATGTATTTAGATAGAGAGAGAAATAGGGTCATTGGGGGATTGTTAAATTGCTTTTCCTTTGTCGGACTATATATCAATCCAATAAGAGTGATTATAATCTTAATCTACGTGATTAACCCATGATTTCCACTTTTTCCTACGTTTTAATCAACACGTAGAAAATAGTCATATATGTCACATAGCCTAATAGTATATAACACCCCAAATCAATATACAATGTATCCGATAACTTGTCTGTGATATTCCTTCGTCGGAAGCCAAAGTTAAATAAAGCTATTTCAAACACACACATATCCGATAAACATGAGACAATGCAAGCTCTGTTTCTGATCACGTGTGGCGGTTATAGTATTAACTGAAATGAAAGTAGAAATCTCGCGAGACATATGAAATTAAGAGATGTAAACGTGCCAAATCTCACACGTCTAATGTTGTAGAAAAGACTCTATTTTGATGGCATATTCTCGGATTTGTGTTTATATTTTGAATGGGGTTTATGTTTTTAAATAAATAAATAAACACGCTAAGAAATGTTGACGAATATTTTGATTGGAATAGTGTAAGTAGTTAATTGTTTTAGACGATAGCGCGTGCTAGAGTCGATTGTGATTATTTAGCAGATGTCACTCACTTGTTGTGGTAGAGCGACGGTTACTGCCAAATAAATTTCGGGATGTCATTTTTTTTAACTTCCGTATGTAAGTCGAAACGGAGTATAAGACAAATGCCGGATTATACCCTGAAAAATATGGTAATTTTGGAGGAATTTGAAACAGGCACGCTTTCATTCTATCGTATTTCGACAACACATAATTTTGTAGGAATATTACTGACATAAATTTGAATAAGGTACAGGAATTAAATATGAAAAATAACGAGGCGCACCTATTTTTTATTACGTATTAATTTGAATATTTTGTTGAAACCTCCTGCTTAAATAATGTTAAGAGTTATAACTCAAGTGCACTCATTAGACCACTCGACACCAAATGTGTTAACATGCCGTTTATAGAAATTTTCTTCTGTTGCTGTACACTATGCTAAATACAAACTAGTTCATTTACAAATAGTAACTTATTGTCATGGTCTATGGACATAAACAGTATTAACAGTATTTTGTAGTTCTAATGTTAGGGTGCCCCATGCAGCGAAAATTTTCTCTACTGAAAGTTGAACTTGACAGGCGAATGTGCATGCTTCAGTGGCTTGTCTCGAAGTGATTTCTGGCTATTCACGCAGTATGATAACACCCGTATGTGTCTATAAATAGCCATCGTAAGGAGCGGCTTATTTTGGTTTAGTACAAATAATAACTCTGAAACACTTGGGTTAGGCAGAAGTAGTTTCATTTTACTTTTACAAGGTTCTTAAAACAGTTGTTGAGTTGCCTAACGTGTGTGTTTCTAAATTCAATTTCTTGTTCCAGCTTTCTGTTATGTTTCGTAAAAAAGTAGTCTTGATTATCCCGGCGAGACTAATTTCAAAACAAGAGCACATAACCTATCTTTTACTCAAAAGTGCCCAGATGTTATGGCCGACACTCTCCTACAGGCTGCAATTCTTAATGGATCGTCTTAAAACTTTTCATACTTATTACTTATACCCTAAGGATGACCTCTAAAATTTTTGGTACATGCCTGACCGGCTGGGACAGAGCCACGCCCAATTTTTGTGTGTGTCTTTGTGTCGCCTACAGGCCACAATTCTTTACAGGTTCTTTTGAAACTTTGCATACCTATTCCTTATACCCTAAGGATGATCCTATTATTTTTGGTGAATGTCCGACGTCCAGGAGCTGAGCCACACCCATTTTTTCTTTGTGTGTCTGTGTGTTGCCTACAGGCCACAATTTTTAATGGCTCGCCTTAGAACTTGATATAATTATTCCTTATTATTCCTTTTTGTGTTTAGCGTCTGAAGGCCACAATTCTGAATGGAATACCTTGGAACTTAGTTTACTTATTCCTTATACCCCAAGGACGGCAACTATTGATTTTGGAACATGGCCCACTTTTTGTTAATATTTTGTCTGTAAATAATCTTCAGGTTGCAATTAACATATTTGGATCCAATTCCGTATGATCCATCATAGGGTTGTACCTATTTATATTGGTCCATGTCCAACCCCCAGGGGCAGAGCCACACCCAATTTTGGGTTTTTTTGTCTACAGGCAGGAATTCTGAATCTGAATGGATCATCTTGGAACTTGGCATATTTATTCCATACACCGTATTAAGAATAGCAACTATTTAGTTTGTTGCATGTCCCAACCCCCAGGCGGTGTCACACCCACATTTTGTTAAATTTAGTTTGTAAATTTGGCAAAACAAACCCAACGCCTAGCCTTCTTTATTTGAAAAAGTACTATATGAATCAAAGCATATGTTATATGGCCTGTAAGTCAGCTATTTGTATTTAGAGGTCTTGTATAGTTTGGTAACTGTATATTTATATTCTACCCAATTGATATTGTCAGGCCATACAGTTTAGATCATTTTGAGGAATACGAAAAACATTTTACTGTAATGAATTATGATGAGAATGTGGTTTTGAAACAGGTAAGACAACTATAGTTACTTATGTTCATGTAAAAGTACAGACATGTCTGGCATCACAGTTAAGATCTATACTTATGTTTCTCATTTTACAAATCATTAACACCGATTAAACAACACTAATCAACACAGCATTTTCTTCTTGAGTTCAGGGGATCCCTCATTAAGATTTTTGTCTTCGAGACCAATATTATTTAACTTATTACTAATAAAGGGAGACTACTGGTTCTGTCCATTCTCATCAAACTTTAGTGTTCAGATAAACATAAATTATCTTTGTGTAGGAAAAGAGGGTATAGTCTTGTATGTCACTAATGCAGTTTCAAGTTTCTGAATGTCTTTCATGGTTATCATTTGGCAGCATCTGTAGAGTACATAAATTGCAATCTAAAATCTGAATATAATTCAATTTTGAAGGAATATTTAGATCAGTATTAACCAGTTACCCATGGCCGCTTTACTTCCTGTTAAAAAACTCAAACCAATTGGATATCTAACCCTATATACTGGACTTATCCTTATCAATGACACACAAGTTATATATCTGTTTTGATTAAAAAGCACACTCATGTATATCACAAATGGGTTTATGAAGAGAAAATATTTCATAGCTATTTAAATTTTCAGCATCAAAATATTATTTACCAGATGTGTCAATCTGATTAAAACACAGATCCTATTTCGTTTCGTTTTTTATAGTTAAAAATTTCGTTTTAATTGTCTTTACTACACTAGGATCTGGAAGAGTTGTTATATTACTGGCATTTTGGTTGAAGTGAGGATTAAGCCAATGAAACAGTCTGTTATGCCGACTTCTTGGCGTGCCATGCACAGAACTGTGGGTAAACCACTAGAAATGCCAACGCTGATTGATTAATCAATGTCTGACATCATAGGATCAAAAGCCGCTTGTACGCCCCCTGACACAACCTTCGAGTACAACTTGTCATATATTCATGTAGTGTAAGCCATCGAAAGTATAAAAAAACAAAACGAAATATAGATCAGATTGGATGTTGTGTATGTATATTTGATCATTTCAGGTTCATTATGATGAGTTTATACCTATGTTTAATGAACAATATCCTGATCATCCTTGGGCTGGTATAGAGGTAAGATAATAATATATAACTTACTGTCTCAGCTATCTAGTTTACAAATCAGAATTTGGGCTTTGCTGTAGAACTGCAAAGCTGTTTTCATTCTCTTCCTGTCCAACATAAGATAGTTTCATTCAGATTCAGTACTCATACACAAATTATTACTTGTTGTGTTTTTAGTCTGGATCAGTTTACAAAGTGATAAAATATTTTTTTTTTAAATTTGGTTCAACTTAGAATTGTGGTCAGAAAGTGACAATTTATAATAAATTCGGGAAAGTTTAATATCATGACATAGAGTTACTACATAACTAAGTAAATTTTTTCCCATCTACAGCAAGAAGTATTTCAAATGATAAGAGAATTATTTACAGCTGCTACAAGCTTACCTCCTCCTCGTGGTATACCACCATCCCCACAGTCAAGATCTATGTATGCTTTAGATTTGATGTTAAGTTGGGAAACAAATGAAAAAGGTAATTTCTAAAATGGACAATATCAAAGCTAATCTTTATAAACACATACCATTACAAACCATGGCCTAAAATTAAGGATTCTGTTCACATGTCACTTCTTGGCAATAGACTGTATTGCTGATGTGTAATTCAGTACAGAGAAACACTTTCCATCAATATATCTCGAGAATTGAACAATAGAGGAATTGTGGTCTTATCTAAATTGCTTGATACTACGGTAGTTGCAATTATTAGATATATTCCTCATGCAATATGGGTCATTCCGTGTCAATTCACACATAATCTGGGATTATACATGTAAACCCGACGGCGACTATCTCAGATTTGAATAAAACTTGATATGTAGTAGGGTTGTTATGCCTGAAAAGGTCACATTTCAAAGTTTTAGCTTGATTGGTCTTATGGTTTCTGAGATACAGTCAGCTGTTTATTTGGCTTTATTTGTAGATCCCTTTTGTTTAAATAGCCATATCTCCTGATCTACTGGCTCAATTTTCTTGATATAGAAGTTGTTCAGATCAGATTCTAAAAATGTTTTATTGTCTGATCTGAGGATGGCATATGATTCCCCACCCTCCTCCAATCAAAATTGAGCCATAAGTTCAGGAGATAAGGCTATTTTAAAGAAAGGGGATCTATCAAAACAACATGCAAATAAAGGGCATGTTCTATACCTCAAAAAAATATAAACCTGTTTGAGTTAAAACTTTGAAATTCAGCATTTTCTTGCACAACAGCTATATGTATCTAGGTTGATCAAAATCTGAGATGGTCGTCTTTAGACTGTAGGGTGAATTGACATGAAATGATCCCATATGTGACTATTTTGCTTACAAACTGACCTGTTCCCTAATTGCATATCCTGAATAACATTTTTTAAAAATACCAAAATGTTAATAGATATTTTCTCCTGAATTTTTGTGTTCTTTGCATCATACAGCTCCTTCAATGATACTGATCTTTATATCTATATACCTATTGCAGTGCCATACACAAGGCAAGTTATGCTTGTTTTTTTTTCAAGAACATTGATTTCATTTGTTATACTTTTGTATTACAGGTGAAAGATATATGCAGCCACAGATATGTGAAGTTAATTATTCACCAGATTGTGATAGAGCTTGTAAATATCATCCATTCTTTGTTAACGATGTATTTAGTACTTTATTCCTAGATGATATTCAAGATAAACATGTCACGTTGTTATAAAATATATCATCCATTCTTTGTTAACGATGTATTTAGTACTTTATTATTTGATGATACACAAGATAAACATGTTACTGTATTTTAAAAAATATCCATTCTTTATTCCTTGATGATACACAAGATAAACATTTTACATTATTATGAAAAATATAAAATAATTATAAAATGGAAAACATATTATAATCAAACAAAGGTCAACTAAATTGTTATTAAATGGAATACAATTACTGTTCAATTATTCAATATAAAGAGACACTTCGTCGACTAAGATTCTATAGTATTAAACATACAGTAGTAAACAGAATTGTGTCCTTTGTATTTTACAGTTCAACTACTAAATGTAGTGAAACAATTTAATGTAACAATATAGTTTAATCTATGGAGACACCATGAATTATGAAAATATACCACTTTGACAAACGGTTGATTGTAAAGATAGTTTGAGAGATAAACTTTAATCTTTCAATTACAAATATAACAAAACTAGATCAGGGCTATAATAAGTGAGAATTCCACAGAATGGGGATGTTGAAAATCTTGGGGCAGACATTGGGTATGAAATGTTGTTTCTAAATGTGTTGGTAAATGTCCAGATTACAATCATACCAATTTCCACTACATATTTGGCCAGCACCTCCTGTCAAATCAGTGGTGTGTTTTCATTGCATCTCAGAATATATTACCTGTAATCTTCAGCTGGAATTATGAATATAGATAAATAAAATAACCTTAATTGTCGGGTCCAACTCCAATCAGTAAAATTCGAGTAGCCCATTTGATATGGTAAATCTCTTGTAAGTTAGTTTAATACAATCCTCCAAATATTGTAATTCAGCTGAAGGTACGGAGTGGCCAAGACCAAAATATTATTCTTAAATCTATCAGAAGATCCCCTGCAAGTCTGAACAACCTATAGAGGGTCCACAAGCTAAAAACGCGATTTTTCGTACAATCATAGGTCATAATCCAGGAAGCTACGGTCCGATCTGCGCGAATATGGGAATGAATATAAACATATATTTTAAGTTTCATCAAAATCGGATACGAATTGTGATCTTTAGAGGGTACACAACCTTGATATTACATACTTTTACACTATTTGCGTACGGGGAGCAGTCATTTTGTCTGTTAGTTTTATTTTTTACATCGGATAACAATTGTCTAAAAACGCGATTTTCGTACAATCAGGGGCCATAATCCAGGAAGTTACAGTCCAATATCGAAACTAACCGAGATCTTTGGGTTGTAAACATAGTTTTAAGTTTCATCAAAATCGGATAAAAATTGTCCCCAAGCTAAAAACGTGATTTTTATATGCCCACATTTTTATGTTGATTTATATTGTCGTCGCCCCAGCGTCCGTCCACAATTTGTTTGTGGACCCTCAACGGGTCACAATTCTTATCCGATTTTGACGAAACTTGAAATATAGGTTTACATGTATTTCCAAAAGACCTCGGTTCCTTTCGACATTGGAATGTATCGGATCAAAACTTGGATTATGACCCCTGATTGTACGAAAAATCACGTTTTTAGCTTGTGGACACACTAGAGGTAACAATTTTCATCTGATTTCGATGAAACTTGAAATGCATGTTTATAACCCAAAGATCTTGGTTCCTTTCGATATTTGCACATATATGATTGAAAATTCCCGAATTATGGCCCCTGATTGTACAAAAAATCGCGTTTTTAACTTGTGGTCCCTCTAGAAGTCACAATTATTATCCGATTTAAAAAAGCGTTCGAATATATCACCGTTACTCCGTAAGGAAGGTTGAGTTCGAATGTTATCAACATATCAACTGTGATTTGGCACTGTATTAGTATTGACAGGGGTCATGACTATATCTCGGATTTTTTCCCATCACTTCATGATATTTCCAAGATGGCAGCCTTTTTTGGTGGGAAAATGGGAGGATGTGAAGAATTTGTTAAAGTAGTTGTGTTTAGTGTCAATATATATGTTTTCTGGGTCGCAGATTCCATTTCTGACATTTACAAGGTTGTAAAATGATGACATGTTCACATAATTAGCATATTTCCAAGATGGCTTTCAGTTTTGACGGGAAAATGGGACGATGTGAAGATTTTGTTAAAGTAGTAGTGTCTGGTGTCAGTATATATGTTTTCTGGGTCGCAGATTCCATTTCTGACATTTACAACGTTGTAAAATGATCTCATATTCACATAATTAGCATATTTCCTAGATGGCGACCAGTTTGGGCGGGAAAATGGGACGATTTGGATTAAGTAGAAGTGTTTGGTGTCAATATATATGTTTTCGGGTCGTAGATTCCATTTCAGACATTTACAACCTTGCAAATTGATCACATGTTCACATATATAGCTACGAGAACGTAGCTAAAAACGTTGAGATATACTGATGTGCTTGTTTTTTGCTACGATTGGGTGCCTTTAGTTCCAAGTGGCAAACTCAATTACTTTCTTAATGCATGTAACATCTTAAAAATAAGATAATTTTATACTATTCTGACTAATTAAACTCACAGAGGCCAATGTAGTGGCACAACTGTCGCCTGACACCAAATATTCGCGTTTAAATTAATGAAGCGTTGTTTTTATCCGACATACACCGTCATACATCTCCCGTTTAAAAATGGCGTTCCTAGTAACGGCTTAACGCCTCGATTTTAAATACGATGATTTATACCGGTTTCAGGTAGGACTATATACTTAATTGTAGTTGGATGTGGCCAAACTATTATAAATAACAATAATCAATCGTTGTTGTGATGAAAAATATTGTCAAATTTGCTTACTGAGGGCTGATGTGATTTGCGTTGGGCTTTGCTCCATGGAACTATATAGCACCATCTGCTATCTCGAAACACGGAGGGTTGAGAGATGTGGTTTGTTATCTAATGTTCACATATTTCCAAGATGGCAGCCATTTTTGGCGGGAAATGGGACATGCACGGATTTGGATTAAGCAGTAGTGTTTGGTATCAACATATATGTTTACGGGGTCGCAGAATTCATTTCTGACATTTACAACTTTGTAAAATGATCACATGTTCGCACATTTACAATATTGCTGCCACTTGTGGCGAAAAAATCGAACGATTTGCTGATTTTGTTTAAGTAGTTGTCTTTGGTCTCAATATATATGTTTTCGGTGGCGCAGATTCGATTTCTGCCATATACAACTGCTTAAAAAAATCATGTTCACCAATTTAGCATATTTTCAAGACGGCGGAACGTTTTCTAAACGCATTATTATCAAATATTTACTTGTTGTTATTTACAGGTTTCTGCGCCCAATTCTGCTATCGATTTTCCTGGGAAGAAAGGCTATTTACTTGGTCTCCTGACATGAAGGCAAAGAGAGCGTAACGACAACGTGGGGCTTGCGCCACATTGACACGCGCCCATCATGCTCCTGCTGCGACCACACCAAGCGCTTACTACGCCCAGCGCGCTCAAGATTTTACTACGCTCATGGCCAAGCTCTGGCTACGCGCACTGTGTTTCCGCCATGCTCTCGCGGTTAGCGGTCAGACCGGGATACGTTCTCACCACACTCCGGAGACGTGCCTATCGGGCGTCAGTGGCCTTTTTGTCGCGTCTATAGTAACTGCGTCATACCTACCTTGTCCTCATTCACTTTCAAAGCAGAGAACAACCAAACGCCAAGCAATCAAGAACATTTTTTAGTTTCTTGATGTTTCCTCCTTGGATGCTATACTGCAGCTGATGGTCGAGTCTTGGTACCTGCCCTATAGATACAAAAAGCGTAGCAAGCATGTGGCTAGGAGCTTCGTTCCTGCCTGGTGGCAACGTGGTTGAAGGTGGTGGGGACGTGGCTGTAAATGAAATACTTGCTAAGAAACTTTCGTGACATAGGCCATAGATTATGTTATCAACTGACTTCCAAGCTGAATTTGGAATGCTGTTGCGTTGGAAACATAAAGTATGTCACCACTAACACAACGACGTGGCCGCCTACTTATCACTGCCACAAGTTCTTTCAATGGTGATGTCAGAGATGACCGGTCACGTCGTCGTTTAAGTGGTGTTATAGTTTGTTTTTCCAACGCAACAACATTCCTTTGGACGACTCCTTCAACACGCAGCTTTGGGTCAGTTCAATATAATCTATGCCACGAAGGTTTTTATAGCAAGTGTTACTATTTCATTTGCAGTCTTTGTTTTTGTTTCTGTGTATACCGCTTTATATTTAACATCATACATTTCTGTTCTACTTTTCATTTATTTATTACCTTTTCAAAAGTTGTAAGTCTCACATTTTTAACCATCGTTAATTTTGTATCTATACTTGACAGATAACATAAACTGAAAGTCTCGATGGCTCCATCAAGTCTTAAAATCAGACTGATCGACCAAGTATATGCGCTGTTTTCCTGGAAAATCGATATTAGCTCAGTGGTCAATTCAGATGAGAAATTCTCATCGTTGGATAATATACCTAATGGGCAAGCAATGGCGTGTAGAAACATGCTACCAGCTTATACATAGCAGAAACCTTTTCATTAATGTATTTAGAAAACGCCCGGTCACAAACGGCGGCCACCTTGGAAATATGCTGAATGAGTGAACATACCAACATTTTACGCAGTTGTTAATGACAGAAATCGAATCTGCATCCCGAAAACATAATATATTGACACAAAACACGATTATTTAATCAAATTCAGCACATCGTCCTATTTTCCGAACACAAATGGCAGCCATATTAGAAATATGTGAACATGTGATCATATTACTCAGTTGTAAACGGCAGAAATGGAATCTGCGCCCGAAAACATATTTACACCAAAAACGACTACTTAATCAATATCAGCACATCGTCCCATTTTCCTTCCAAAAATGGCCACCATCTTGGAAATATGCAAAATAGTTGAACATGTGATCATTTTACACAGTTGTAACATCAAAACCTTCAAAATAAAGCTTATTCCGCGATTTCTACCCGAAAAGCCGACTGATGGTAATTATGTAACAAACCCAATCGGACTATGGGTGGACTTAACCTGATAATGATAAGATGGTCACTCAGACTAAACGTCATTCACTTTATTACTGCCGGTAAAATTAGTTTTATGACCATTGACCATGGTTCGTATTCTATAAAGGTGGAGGTATTTAATTAACGGCATTAATGAATAATTATGTTATAATAACAGATACATTAATCAATAAACAAGCCACCGATTGGCATATTGTTATAACACATCAGTCAGATGGTGGCATGATATAATAATTGTTGTGACTAGCAAACATACCCTATTTCAAACATTTTCCTTTCAGAAATTAACAACGTATCATTTTTACTAACTGTAGACTTAATCCAGAATTCTCAAGGGTTTTTTTTAGTAATAATTACATTGTACAAAGAACTTTGATAGCACTTGCAACAATAAAATCATGTGATCAAGGCGGTCATGTTTTGTTGGTTTTTTGGGGTTTTTTTTTGGTGGTATCCTTTACCCACAGACAGTAACCTTTTCTACGGATAATTACATTAGTTTTAGTCAAGGTTTTGATGTACTATGTGACTGATCTGAGAAGCCAAGTTACACCTGCTTTACTCTCAACAGACTTCACACAGTCCCACAGTTAAAGATGCATCTGCCTTTTAGTTTGGCTTCAAATGTTATGTAAATTATAATTTAAACATTTATTCACATGACAAGTGTATAATCAACTCTCTAGGACATCGGATGGGGCAGATGTAAACGGATTAATATACGATCGCCATTTAATGATTTAATTTTAAAATTAGAGAGGCCAGGCTGAGTCTCAGTTATCAAGGAACGCGGCTATGATAACAAACATTCTATGTCAAACACTCATACAGTGATAACGTCGCTCAGAATAAACTAATTTGGATGAAATCTTCAATATATTGATTTTGAATTATCTATTTTGGAATTATTATAGCAAGAAACCTCTTCATCTAAATCTTACATAATGTATCTTTTTTTTTCTGCAAGACGAGGAGTATAACCTAATTGGCCAATTCAACTGCAAACAGTGCAAAGCCAAAGTCGACGACCACGGGACCAGGCTTTAGAATTCAGTTGATGCCTCAGTATGAATATTTCACACCTCTCCATAAGTTCCAAAACAGTAAACATAGTGAAATGTATCAGGTATAACTGTTCCAACTAAAGTAGATTTGTGGGGGTGAATGTCGGGGATCTTTTCAGATAACATCTCACTCATTTCACGCTCGGTTTGTGACCAATGCGGGGTAACGAGATATATATATATATATAATATATATATATATATATATTAGTCACATTTTTGTTGATGGTTTCGTTTCTTTAAAAAAATGATGTGTTTGTGTAGAGGAAAACGCTGAACTGGAGGCTTAGCGTGAGGTCAGATGTTTTAAAACTTTATCGATTTCTCAATTTTGATGTCCGCTGAATCTATACTTTTGCGCAAGCCCGTAGCCAGCCTACTGGCTGCAGAGGGGCAGTGAACATTTTAGGGGGGCGGGGGTTCCCCCCCCCACCGTACGAAAGGGGTACCGGGTTCCTCCCCAATTACGGGTCATGAGGTCTCCGGGCGCCGAGGCAGCCTAGCTGTCGGTTACAGTGACAAGATAACAACCTTAGGGAGCTCCGTAATTTTGTAATTACTCGCTTTTTCGTTTTTTGGATTTGAATGAAACTCTATATAATCTTCAAGATAGTTGTTGTGCATTGCCGGAATGGTTCAATTGATCGTATTTGCATTTTGGTGGAATTTGTGGGGGTTCAATTTTTTTTCTACAGTCCCTGACAACTGGGTGTATCACACCCGTATATTTTAAATTTCGACCTGAAATTGTTGTCTGTGGAGTATATCCCGGGAAGTCATATACTTAGTTCTAAGTGACGGATAGCTGCCGCGCCCCAGTGACAAGATGACGTCCCAAGGGGGGTCTCTCCTCTTGGGGTTTAAGCCCCACCCCACCCCCGACGAGAAATTATTTGAAATTTTAACCTGAAACGGTGGTCTATGGAGTTTATCCCGGGCGAGAAGTCATATAAATCATTCTCTATCAAACAATGAACATAGTGACAAGACAGGGACCCCACGACAGTGGGCCATTGGGCAAGTCAGTACAAAATATATGGCAGATAGATGTCAGAACATAACCAATAGGCTTATATGAGACTGGGTGCAAGGTGCCACGTCTCCAAATCAATACTCCACATGGTGATCCCTAACTGCTGTCTATTACAAACAGTAGGTATATGGTTGGTTATTTTTTTCGGGGGAGGGGGGCAAATCGTTTTTTCGGGGGGCAATGCCCCCCTTGCTCCCGCTGGCTACGGGGCTGCGCTTCTGTGTAGTCATTTCAAACAGCAAGTAGATTTTTAAATTACGTTCGGGAGGGTAGGGAAGGACAAGAAAAACATTTATTTCTGCGATATTAGTACATTTAGTGAAAGCGATATATAATAAACAGACAGTTTTATGGATAACATTCACTAGGTTTATTAACTGCAATGTTTCAATGAGGATACTCTCACCGTTATCAAGCAATGATACAATCAAACATGTTACAGAAGGTTATGTTATACAAGTGGATAACAATAAACTAATTAACAGTTTGAATCAGAACCCATTCAAAGTTAAACCTCATATCTATAAAAACTAGTATTAATCAATAAGAAACCCTTAAAGGGTTTGAAAAGGGTGGCTATACATATGAGAACTAATCTATAGCTGTCCATTATCCTAGTGCAGCTTATCCCATTTCAGAACAGGTTATTTGGTATTAAAACCCTGAAAGACTGGCCGTAAATTGTGCTTTCTAGAGTACACCCTGATGTTTATTGCTTAAGCATAAGTTTAGTGTGTGGTAATCTTAGTATCTTAGTACTTCACCAAAAAACGACACAATGCAAGATTTAAATGGAACCCCAAACTAATATTAAGTTCTTTAGTGGAAAGGGGGGGGGGGGGCTACCATAATCACAGACTCCCTCTTAGTCCATCCCCGAATTCGATTAACGGCTTTCTGATTAAAACCTAATGTCATACATCTGTCAATAATCTGATTGAAGTTACAAGAATCATAAATTAAATAAAAATTTCAGCCCCCCACCCCTAAAACCCCCCATCAAAAAGCCCTATTATATCATGAAATTTTTAAAAAGATAATCTAATAACACAAAAAAAATAACCGTTGACGTAAAGGACGCGTAGTTTGCCGCTCTCTGATCTCTCTATACGGTGTCTATGTTGTTGTTGTTATATTGAGTATTGTTATATTGTTACATTAATAAGAACGGAATAACACTAATGTCTTTTAAAAGAAAAGACCGAGTAAAACGAGATGTCTATATGATCACTGTTCTACAGATAATTTTAATATAATTACTAAATATCCTATTACGTCTTTCAATTATAAAGGCGAATAGATGAGAGTATACATGCGCTCATTGATCATACGACACTGGTTGCCATGGGAATATTTTTTGACGCTTTCATCGCATAATATATTTAAATTTTCTCATATTCGGACATTAATCAGGAGCTGAATGAAGTAAACAACATCGGCGAAAGGGTGAGTGTTCTGTCATAGTACTTTAATTTGTTTTGTTGTAAGTTAACTGTTTTTTTTTTTAAAAATTAGTAACTTGAGTTGAATCCCCGTAAATATTGTCCACAGTTTTTAAAATATAAAGATTGTCGTTTGTTTGCTTTTAAGTAAGTCCACACAAAAAGACAAATCATAATGTATCTTGCTATATAAATTGCTTTTCTGGTTTTCAGAAGTCGCTCGAAGAATCGTCCGAAATATGGTCAAACCAATTACAACTCTCCTGTTCGCTTCGATTCTTAAAGTGCAAATATTATTTGGAATATTCCTCAATTCTGATATTAGTGTATGTAATAACTCGGCTTGGTCGTGCCAGGGAAAGTGTGGGGAACCGGATTATTTACCCTGTTCTTGTCAAACTTCATGTCATACCTATCAGATATGTTGCGAAGATTTTGAATATATTTGCAATCATGCTGAAGCTTCCGTGAAGCTGGACTCCGTGCCAGTCGGGAGTGACACATTGAAGGATACTTTCGACACAGCAGAAATGGAATTCACTAGTAAACCATACTGCTCAGATTTAGTGGGAGTATGGTTAGAAGGGGGCTGTACAAACCCAACAAGTACCTTGGTGTACGATAGGTGTATAAACCCAAACCAAACTTTAATCCACGATATGATTCCGGTTTCGGACCCGTATACCCAAATACATTACAGAAACATTTTCTGTGCACAATGCAGCGATAGCAACAAGACGATGGCTTGGACAACAACAGAGGAATGCTTCACCGAAACCATGCAAGCATTGAACATAAGTCATTGTTTATCCAAAGTGGAGAATCCTTTAGGACGAGCAGCTATACCATGCATACCATACACTGAGGTATCTGAAAACCAAACAAACAACAGAGCCAGTAATTGGACGGAAGAGCATGTAACCGAATATCGAAAGCAGTGCGACGCGTTCACTTCTTATGTAATGGACAGAGAGACTGAAACAGTTTATCGAAATCGTTATTGTTTACTTCTTGATAGTCCACACAAGAATTCGACTTGTGTCGTTCCCCCGTTTGATAACGAAGAAATATTTTGTGCTGAACGAAAACAAGATAACGACATGGGTCCTTGTATGATGGAAGTGTGCTCTGGAGAGAAATCATTTGATGATTTGTTTTGCCCAAATGAAACCCTTGATTTATATATGAAGCTGGAATTTTTTGTTGGTGATATGTCCAAGGTTAAAGAACATCTTGGAAACATAGAAGTAGGTTTGACAGATAGCAGGAGCATTATGTATAATGCTATTGTTGATGATTTCGGGACTGAAGATGGAAAACCCTTATTGTGTAGAGCTGTACAAGTGACTAATGCGGAAGGTATACGTGTGAAAGAAGTGTTTTCAAAAACTGTGTTAATGCATTTTGAATGTACTGTTGCTAAAACCTTGATCAACGACTCCTTAACAGCTCCAAACATTCTGAAATTATTGACGAAGATTATACAGTTACCAACCCACAAGGTTAAAATACCCTTAGATGTTAAAGTAACAGCTTGTTTGAAACGAACCACACATTACCGCAAACCCAGTCTTTCCTGCAGTGGTACAACATTTGACGTTGTTGTAAAAGCTATACGAGAACCGCTGGATACAAATATCTCGGCAGAAGGCTATATTTCCATCATTTGCTGCGTAGTATCTGATATAGGACTTATTTTGAGAATCTCTCTTCAGCGTTTTGTTCCTTACTTTCAAACCACACCAGGTAAAACTCAGTTTTCCATGTGCTGCACATTGCTTCTGGCTTATACGTTTTTCTTAATTGGTGGTATTGTAGAAATAGGGAGCACCGCTTGTTTCGTGGTAGCCGTTTGTACTCACTGGTCTTTCCTCTCCTCACTATTTTGGATGAACGTTATCGCCTTTCAGATTTGGCGAACCTTTAGAGTCTGGCACAATCATGTTGCGAGTAAAAGTCAACGCGTCCTAATAATTTCGAGCATATATGCCATGGGGATTCCCACTCTTATTATATGTTTTAGTTTGGGACTCGAAATTCTGGACCCTATGCACGACTTTAGTCCAGCTTATGGCAAATATTCGTGTTGGATGAATAAGTCCTACAGTGTTCTTACATGGTTTGTAGTACCGTGTTTCAGTATAGCCTTTGTAAATGGGATATTTGCTTTCCTGACGGTTTGCAGTCTTAGGGTCCAGAGAACAAAAATGGTGGTGAATACCACCAGCAAGGTAAAGCCTAGCAATGAATTTGCTGTGTCTTTAAGGATCGTTATCCTTGTCGGTGTAACCTGGTTACTCGGCCTCTTCTCGGTTTTTCTTGATTCCCCAGTCGCATGGATGATTTTCACTGTTGTGAATGCCTCATTGGGGTTTCTCATTAGTTTCGTTTTGTTGTGTAACAAGCGAGTCTTTCGATTTTTCGAAGATAAATGTTTTTGCCCTGCCCGGGAAAACACTGCTACCACGTCCATTTCGCCTTAAATCTCAATTGTCGTTCTCATCCGTGAATCTTCAATTTTGATTAGTCTAGCAGATGTATCGTCATGATTTATTTATTTTTATCGTTAACCTCATTGTCAAAAAAATACGGACAGATTATTTACGTCACGTTATTTACATATGGAGTCACGGTGGTATTAGTGAGTTAAAGTAGCTAAGTCTTTAACTCAATATCATCCAAACTCTTCGTCATTGAAAACTTGAATTATTTGTCAATTTAAATCAACATTGATGTTGTGATCTTACCGGGAAAAGGTGGGCTTCTGATATCCAATATTTAAGACAGAATAAATATTTTACACATTCCACGAGTCACGTCAAGCGGTTACGCCATATTCGTATCTGGGAAGCATGCGCAATAGATGCTATCGCTGTAGACTGGAATAACCAGGCGCTAGAGATTGCCATTCGATTGAGACTTCTTGCGTATTTCGTCGAACATAACTGATTTGGAATTAGAGTAAAAAAAGAAACGATTGAATGTAAACCAGTTTATGTACATTCATAATAATATTACATTATTATATGCGTTGCGACCCATTTGTGTAAATTTCTAGGTCCCAAATATTAGCGAGTTAGCTCCTTTAAGGCGCTGGTTTAACCACGAATTGATCAATGTACCAATTGCACGTTATGATAGGTTGAATCATAGGATGTCAAAATAAAAAGATAAAAGTGAGAATCAAAGATTATAATTTAGCTAGCGTGGAGTAACATTAATGTTAACTTCTCCAATCAGCTTCGGTATCTGGTATTCAACTCCAGACTTAGTCTCAATTAGTTTTATAAAGTTCGGAAGGTAAGCGAGGGAGGGGGGGGGGGGGGGGGCGAGGGGGCAAGCCTAAGGCTGGATAGGCTCACTCTTTCTAAAACGCACATTCTCTTACACTGTTTGGGAAAGTTAAGGAATGGTTTTGAACATATAATATTGTATAAAGGCTGGTGAATGAATGAGGAATACACCAAGAGTGGGACAAACTCAGCCAATGGATTATTTGAAAAATATTCTACTTAATGTCCAAATATATTAATTATAGCATCAAAAGCCAAGTATAAACAGATGTTTAATTATATATGTAAATTAGGAAATAAATGATAGAAACCCCATTGCTTTTTTTATTCTGTTCTTTATATTGTCCATTCTACTATTCAATGTCATTTGGGGGTGGTTGCGGTGGTGGTGATGTATATCGAAAGGCCCACTGCGTATAATTGCGATTCATGGATCCGATCCCGGGTTTTGTACGTAACAAGGGGTGTGGTCGTGGTCGCCTGCATATCGACCCCCACCCCTGCGCGGTAACAGCTATTAATCCATAAATAAATGATCTGTTTAGTATCGACTAAGACTGACCTACAGTCTATGGACATACTAGTTATCTCACTTTTCTGATTTGTCCTTTGTCAATGTTTTTTGTCCTTTTTTCAGCAAAAAAAAAAAGACTATTTACCCTAACATCGACCTGCAATAGCAAAGGTGACGTGTCTTCTATCAGTAATGGAAACTCAACCGAATAATTCCGAGCAGATCTCAACGGGAAAACCCATCACTGTGCAAAAAGTTCTTAAGTGAGAACACAAATAATAAACGGATAAACGAAAAGAAATATTCAAGCCTCTATTAGTTATTGATATTTTTCCGACAATATCTAATTTTCACAGACTAATCCACGCTAGATATTGATTAATTAACATTTCATTGCGATATCAAAATATCAAAGGTAGATTAGCACCCGGCCTGGAATCAGTCGGAATAAAAAGATTTGATCGACGATTATAAATGGCACTGGCCTGTTTTGACCATATCCCCTTTATATCGTCTGTAAATAATTTTTGGGCTGATATTCGTTTTAGAGTTTCCCCTTTTTCGGGTATTTTACCATGGCCATATATTGTTGTCGGTGAATGAATATCATTGAAAATATGCAGAGTTAACTGGGTTGTTCAAAATCGATTTAGAATCAAAGCCCAGCAAAGCCAGAACAAGAACTCGTCGTGCTATCCATCGACAAACGGTTCTATGGAGATGAGAAAACCATTTCAGCGGTAGATTGCGATTATCAGCTTGACACCTTAATAACCGTGTCTGCGTTATCACCCTAAGAGGAAGCGGAAGTTAAGCCCACAGAACGAACGAACCTTAATTACATGACTACCATTTTCGGGATGATACCGGCACGAGCATAAACGTCTGAATATGGTTGCAGTTTGTTAGTTTCTAGGATCTCAAAAATCAATCAACGATCCACAAATGAAAAAGAATTTTTGTTCAACCTGATTTTTTACAAACTAGATACCCAGCAATTTATTATTTCCAAAAATAAATTGACAAATGATACAACACAATAAAATTAACACACGGTAACCTCGTTATCATATAACTTTCTTAGAATTGACATCTGGAAGCAGACGATAGACTCGGTCACGTGCGGGCGCGCTGCCAGATAAATCCTCATGGTGCGCGCTAACCCAGTCGCTATATAAGTAAAGTTAGATGTATTTGCCGTGCAGAGGATGAATTAAAGGGGTACGAGTGGCTTATCATTTCAGTCAGTCTAAACCATTACCATCTGCTTTCTGTTCATGTATTGATGTTGTGATTTCGAACGTAGTTTCTTATCATTCAATATCTTTGCTCACACGCCATGACTCCTCTGGCCATGTGATGGAGATATAAGACATCATGGCTCTTATAGTGGGAAATTAGTGCTTCTTGTACATTATAGACATCTAAACATTACACGTTCATTTGTATGAAAGGATAACTTATCATGAATAGTTCAGCTGGATTATCGGAGACAGCCCCCGTGAGTAGCGGTTCAACGTTACGTCCCTATCTCAGAAGGAAGAAATCATCATTAGGAGAGACCAAAATTGCTGTAGTAGGCGCATCTGGTGTTGGCAAAAGTGGTACGTATTAATAAAAGTATATTTGTTTATATGGCTGTCTACACAAATAATCATCTGAATATGTACATCGACTCTTGTTTTAACACTTGTCACATCATGATAGGATAATGGTGATGATAATACTGATATTGTCAATGCATCTCTGTATATTTGAACATTGAAATTGTTAAAGTTTATCACATCTTACACTTCTGTTCCAGTATGATGCCATAAATATATACATAACCTTACCACCTAGCCAAAATAAGCTACCATTCTTTAAATTCTTCTGTTTTGAGTATATTCAAGAAGGATTCTAGTCTAATATCAATTATGAATCATTTGTAGGCTTATGACACAATTTTATCATCCGTTATATATCTCTGAAATATCCTACGGACATATATATGCTCGGTGAATCATGATGATCTAGCTAGACTAGATATTGTATCTGTCGAACAAAGCAAATTTGGATAGTAGTAAACTCTTTGTGCTCGATGAATCATATAGATAAATCGTCCATATATTAAATATCTAACAAAGCATATACGTGTGCTTACATGTAAAATATTTTATTTATAACTCTTAAAAATGAACACATGGTCTTCCTATTATCACCAATGTCTGATAATTCCGAGTATCTGAATAATACTCGCGTATAGCATGCATTTGCTCTGAGAGGGGAGAGCTTCATTTGTCATTTGTAACGTATACAGTATCATACATACCTTCATATCAAATTTATAATCCTTAAGTTATTCTTAAGATAAAACTCACTTTCCATATTTATTTGTATCGTGTTCAGATACTAGCACTACAATGTCAGCCTTTGGGACTGATTGGTTCAGTATGTACCAGTATCATCAGCTGTCACAACAAACAATAGCCAGTTCTATATAAATATGTAATATTTGTCTAGATAATATAAAAACTTTATCAACATAATCTATCGCCATTTCAAGGATTGGCATATAAACACATTACCAAGTGACGTACTTGTGAAGCATCTGAAGTTACACAATATTCGATGTATTGAACAGCAGCAGCTATAGACACACTGCCATCATTCCAATCTAATGAAACTGAGCCCGATTTTCGTTCCGCATATTCGATTGTTCATATCGAGTAAAGAAACGAAAAATAAAAGGGGACGAATTGTTGATATAATTTTAATAAGACGTATTGACAGTTTCGGTTGAGCAAAAACTTGATGACTTGATTTCGACTGTTTTTATTGTTGTTTGTTTTAAGTTCCCTGGAATAACTATGACAAAGATAAACAACACACCAAAACACAGACTAAAAATATAATTTTGTTTAATTCCTGGCTGTTGTGCCATAAAGTACGAAAAATCTGAGTCTCTATAACGCGTGTTCAGACTCTAATGTCATCGGATAGACCCCCAGATCCTGAAATGACACAGTTTATTAATTTTGTTTAAAAGACAATATTGGTGCCAGTCATTATCACATTAGTGATAGAACTGGTTAACACGTTCCAAATATAATTTTAACACACGAGAAAAAAAGAAATAGCCCGTACATTCCCTTGTTTATTCGTTCTATACCTAATAAAAACATGGTAATGCAGGGACTTTTTCTATTTTTCTTTCGTGTTCTCTTGTCTAGTGACAGTCAATTATTTTTATAAATTGTCAAATATCCTTTCACAGTCTAGCACAACAACTTTTGAATTATTAGTGAGCAGAAATTCGCCCGTGTATCTGTTATCACTCGTCACTTCAGTCAGTTATATAGAGGGATAACCCGTGTTTTCCTTTTGCGTTCGTCACTTCCGATTGTGAAACATTGATTACGTAGCAATAATCTCTGTGTTAAAATAATATTTGGAACGTGTTTAACCAGTTCTATCACATATGTGAAAATGACTGACACAAATATTGTCCTTTAAGCAAGAGGTTAGTACGATATCCATATTCATGGCTTTTGTACCATAAAGTACGAAAAATCTGAGTCCCAAACGCGTGTTCAGACTCTAATGTCATCGAATAGGCCCCCGGATCCTGAAATGACAGCCTATCCCTCTCTCTCTCTCTCTCTCTCTCTCTGGGAGACATCATACGTCGATTACAAAACAAGGATATTTGATTTCTAATTTCTGAAGTGAACTGCACCACATCCTCTATTAAAATAGTTCTGTGCTGATCTGATTTCATCTGGTCTGAAGTTACATATTTCCTTTAATATCAATAAAATCTCATGTAGACATCTTCTTTATCTTACTATATCTCTGTACGGAACCAGCTGGGACGCTACTCAGTGTCCACTACAAAGTTTCAAAAACGTCTCAAGTTAATACCCCATGCTGAGTGCAGACAGATAAAGTTAATTAGGTAGTTAGTTACCATGGTGTGAAGTTTGAAACTTGGTTGTAATCTGATTACATCTACAGGGTGTCATCTGTCAAGTTCTATCAACAAAGAAATATAAAAGCACCAATAAAAATCGCTAGCCTTTTGTCTGAACTCCTTAAGTGAGAAGTGGTATCAGGTGTTAGATTGTTATTGCACACTAACTAAATACAATTAAGCCCCAAGAAGCTGGCCATGAGCGTTGGTCACAGATTTCCCTGCAAGGAAATGTTCACCGATTCTGTGTCAGTTTTGTGGTATGAAATTATAGTAGAGTAACTATGCTACATCTACTTTATATTATAGGAAGTCTCCTGTCCTTTATAAGACGGGGAAATGAGAGAAAATACTGTTATATTACTTTGCCTTGAGGCATTCCAAGACGGTAGTTAGATAGGTTGGGTGGGTGATTGGGAACCGCGGGAGCTAAGACCACAGACACCAGCTCCATGGCTTAAATGTAGAGTACTCCCCCAAAGAAAGTTTTATTCGATGTTCCAGGAGGACTGAGCACACAAGTTCCTGTGCACGATACAAGCACCACAAAATCATGACGGCGTTATTCCAGATAGCGATGTACTTAAATTCTACGTTTCGTGCTAAATAAAAAAATAATGGCAACACCCAAAAGAAGTTTTGATTTCACTGCTTTTTAATATTGAACACAATTATTAAGTATAAAGTAACTAGCCGACCTGAATTAAGGATTTATAAGTGGAACCGTTGGCAGGGTATACGTCTTTAGTCTACAGCGATTAAATCAAACAGTCAACCAATTAATTAGTTAAATGTTCCAGCACCTGGAAAGGGTATAAACTCTTTGTCTTGGAATGTACTGGCAGTGAAATATTTCTCACATGTTGCAATTATACAACTAATTACCCCATAACATAAACGTCAATCAACGGAGCTATAAATGATGCTATACGTTCGAGAGGAAGCTATTTTAATTCAAATAAACCCAGTAATGTCTAATCGTTCCATCTTGAAAGGGTTTAATGTTTATTGTATAGTATATAATTGAATAACAAGTTCAAGTTTTACCCGTGCCAACGTTTCAATAAAAGAAACTAGCCCTGTGTTAATTGGATTTAAAGATAACAACCATTAACAGGAGTGTAGGTCCAAACAGCTCTTCAGTGTTATCGTATATACGCAAAGGAAAGAAATAGAATGTTTAAATAATGTCTCGTCTATCAATACTTCGATCAATACTTGATTTGTTTTGTGGAATGACAAAAGCTGTTTTGCTGAAAACTTTACCTATATAGATAAAGCCAGTTGTCAGATATACCCGTTTTATTTTCACAGCCAACATATTAAGGATGCATTATGTAAGATTTAGATATAATGGTAAAGGAATATACATGTATTGAAAATGAACGTTTGAAGAATAGCGTAGTCTCGATTTTCATTGCTACCGTTGTAACGATAATAAACAAAGTCTCGATTATCCATTTTTAAATTTTTTAATCAAAATTTTTAAATGGCGATCGTGATTCGATAAGTTCAAAATCTATGGAGTTGATTATGGGCCTGTCATGTGGTTAAATGTCTAATTAATAATTTATATAACATTTGAGTCCAAAATAAAGATCTGTAATAGGCAGATTCAGCTGTTTAAGCCGTAAGATTAGTAAACAGGCCGACTTCCACTTAATATTTTCAAACTAAAATAATGTACGTATAGAAAAGGGGTCCCTACACCTGTTCGATCATTTAACCCGGGCAACTTTTCGAAAGTAAGTTTTTTTTCTCTGAAATTTGAATTTGCATTTGTACCCTTATAAAGCAACCGACAAAAGAGAAATGTTCAAATACTGTTGAAATAACAATAATAAAAAACCGAAGACATCGAATCGATCCGACAAGTAGTTTCTGAGATATGCTCAAATGGAAAAATAATAATAATAATAAGAAGAAGAATAATAAGAATAAGAATAATAAGAATAATAATCCAAACAAAAACAATAGTGTTTCACACTGGCTACGCAGTGTGAAACCCTAACTAGATCTGCTACTGTCCCATGCAGATATGAAAGCTTTCATATTCATCGTCAATTATCTTAAAAGAAAAAAGATCTAGAAAAAATAATTATCAAAATCGCTCAAAAACTCGCGAAGTTACAGGTCTAAAAATAGTGAGAAACATTGTAACCGGAATGACATCCCATTCCAGAAGTTTCAGAAAAGTGGATCAAGCCGTTTAAAATCGGAACGGATGAAAAAATAAAATGAAAATGGCGGGAAAGAACTCAAAAATGTTCGAATATTAAAGTCCTGTAAAAAAAAACTTTGTCGGCACGTAAAAGGTCAAAGGCGAAATTCGAAATTTTGAAAATTCGACCTAAAATGTATTAATTTTAGAAATAGCAAACGCATTGAACATACTACGGCCTATTGTGTTTATTTACAAGCCCGTTAATGTAGATTTTACACTATTTTTCATATTCCGTTCAAAATGGTGACCATCAGTTGACTTAAATCAAAATTCTGCTGTGAACGTTTTTTAGGCATTCCTTTAAGGATTCAGAAAATATAACTCCAATGTCTGTAAGTAAAATATCGCAAAATGCCTTAGGGATTTTTCACGTTTCAAGATGGTGGCACTTCCGATTCGATCGATAGACTTCATATTTTGTGTACGCA